CATCGGTGACCCCAGAAGTCATATAGAGAGGTGGCTAAGTATGGTTCATTGAATTGTGGCTCGAGATCACACCCTAGAGTGATACTGACGAGAAATTTTATCAAGGTCAAGGAAATCTCAAGCTCTAAGTATATATGCAGAGCATAGAGACCCAATAGAAAATTCGGAGGAAGAAATTGTTTGTAATCATACACTTGTAGTAACAAGGCACCAAAGATGAAAACTTTAAGGGCAAAAACCCATTTGGGGAATGGTTAGGATTTCCAGGGTTAGGGTTTATTTGAAACTTGATGGGGAAGCAAGCAAAGCAGATGAATTGAAGGAGATTAGGAGGAAGTGGGAAAAGAGGACCTTTTTCTAATGCAAAGAGGATGAGTTTTGGAACTGCAAGACCTGAGAGGAAAAAGGCTATAGTGAAAGAGAAATGAACAGTGGAGAAAAACATAGGAAGAGCAAGAAACAAAGCACAAACAGGAAGAACAGAGAGTAATCGAAGTATATTGGTTTTGATTTTGGGTGGTAAGTAGTAACAATAAGTTACTGAGATGATTGCAGAAACCCATACTTCGATGAATATCTTGAGTTCTTCCTCCATGATTAATGGTTATGTGATGATCCAATAAAAATAGGAAATGTTTACAGTTATAGTATATAATCGTGGGAGAGCAATTAATAAGTACAGTATGTTTGTTACACATTTAAGGAAAAATTCATTGGCAGTTGTTGAGTAGTTAATGGCTCTGGATATCTTAGTACTTTCCTCTTTTATGATATAGTACTATAGTAGGAGTAGTATTTGAAATTAAAATAAATAAAGTTTTACCATTTATAGTTTAAAATTTAAATAATAAATATACAAAGATGCATAACAGAATAACAATTTCTGAAAAACAAGTTACCCAATATAAAAACAATTTCAGAAAATTCCATATGCAGTAAGATCAACTCTAGTTAAACTAAAACAAACTGTAATTAGTACACAATAATAAATGTTATTTTGATATCTATTTACATACGTTAATTAGATCATATTCTAATTTTCGTAGTTTGATATGATTCCTACTTTTTTTTTGTGTAATTTGTTATTGTGTTTTCATATATATTTTTTCACGACTTGTGTTTTCATATATATAATTAATAAAAGTCTAAAATACTTATGTATATATAGATACACACGTTCTAATATTTCAACAGAAATATATTTTTACACTTCATGTAAAAAACCAATATAATGTTTTTACTTTAAAAATAATATTATATGTATATGGATTATTTTCCTGAGCCATATGGATATAGTACACTTAATTAGGGTGTAATTATTACACATTTACACTATATAGGATAAAATAATATACTTTGAAAACACTAGAATCCACAAAACAATATTCATAGACCAATAGGAGAAGGAAAAAAATGATTTCAAACCAAAGTTAGATCTAGGCTTCTATAGTTTGCTAAACATTATTCTTTAAGAAATAATGTATAATGGCAATTTTAACTTTTAACACATTTTAAAGAGTATATTATTTATTGTTGTTTAATAAGGATAAAATAGGCAAACTGTTTTAAATTTGACATTGGAAACACTAAACTTCTATCTTTGTGGGACAAATTTTTTTTCTAAAAAATCCATCTTTGTGGGACGGAGAGAGTGTTATTTTTCAGACACTCGAAAAACAAAAGATTGAATTTAAAGTGAGCCTAAATAGCTCGAACCCAAATTCAAACTCTTTTGAATGAATAAATTTTGTGAAAGCCAAATCTGAAATTAAAAGGTACCAAACCGACCAAATTTATTTTTTAGCATTGCAGGCGGACACTCGTCATAAATATCCCCAACAAAGTAACTAACTTTTGCTTCACGAAGTACACTCAACGAACAACACAGCTTCATATGTGAATATCTCCATCGCTCCGCTCCTTTGAAGCTGAGGTTGTAAACAACCAACCAGGCAACCACCAGTCAGTCAGTCACAAACACAATCCCCACCGTGAGCAGCCATGATACCATCGGACTTAATATATTGGTGATTCTGTAATACTCCCTCCATTTCAAATTAAATTGTCGTTTTAAAAGTTAAATTTTGTTTCAAATTAGTTATCGTTTTATGTTTCAATGTAGATTTTTCTACCAATTTCTCATTTTATACATATTCTTTAAGTTTATTTATTGACGATATCAAATAAAACAATACATTAATTAAGGATAAAACAAAAAAATAATTTTTTTTAGTACGCGTGAAAAAAATTTTAATCGACAACTAATTTGAAAAGGATGGAGAATCTTTTTAATTTTTTTTTTTAATTTATTATTTTGTCTCATTCAGCATGTTCATTATTTTCCATAATATCATGATTCCACGACTCCCAAGAAAATAAATAAGTCATGC